AACCTTTTCTGGATCTCCAACCCCTTTTGAGAATCCAATAGGTTATATAATATCGCCCCTGGAAAAATGTGCCTACTTGGGCTAACATACATAATTTCACACACAATTTCCGGTATCTGCAGAGCTCCTGAAACCCATTCAGAGAGCCTTTGGGGGCTTCTGGTTAAGAACCCCCTGGTTCTGTGATTAAGACTTAAGTCAGAAAAAAATAGTCTTCAAATCCTAATGACTCCAAACAGGCTGTGTGACTTTGGATGGGATACTTAACTTCTCTGGGCTTCATATTCCTTATATGTAAAATTGGGGTAGTAGCAGTAGCTATCTTGTAGGGTTGTAGTATATGAAATGAATAAAACTCTTAGCCTGAAGTCAAGCATACTCAGTAAGGGCTTATTGTGTTTATTGTCATGGTTATTGTTGTTGTTACTGCAGATGGTGGCCTAGGGCAGAATATAAAAACCAAGTGGGCAGTCCCAGTTCAGCTGGGGTGGCAGGAGGTAATCTATCGGAGTCTACTTCTATAGCAGAAGAAACACTTTCTGAATTCCACAAGGGGAGTTAGAGTAGCAAGTGCCTGGGGGACAAAAATGATCCCAATAGGTGGTCAAGTTAACTCATTTCCAGCAGTGTCAGAACCTTTTTTCTGAGGGAAGCACTGGCCTGAGGGCCAACACTGGTGTATGCAAATAATCTGAAAATGAATGGGACTACCAAAACAATCTGGATTAAAGTCTGTGGAGCAAAGCTTTGGGAGTTGACTTGAATTATTCTCTTATTCTAAAGAATAACTCATTTTGTTTGGGTGTACAGGGTCTCCTTATCCTGGCAATTCATGCAATGTTCTTTCCTTCCTCTTTGTCTGGAATATTCACTAAACTGTGGGAAAGCAGACTTTTGGCAGAATAATCCTTTCCCCTTCCACTGGAGATGGAATAAGCCTGGATCCTGGTGGTACAGGCAGCAAGCACAAATTCAGGAGTCAAGATACTGTATAGACCAGGCTCTGTAGACAGGCATTCCCTCTGTGGAGCAGACTCAAGGAGCAAGTTACTTCCAACCCCAGAGGAGATGATACTGGCTCAGCTGACTAGGGATTGGGGACCCCACAGTGTCTTCCCAACCCAGGAAGGGGTTGGGATCCCAGGAAAGGGATTGGGCACGAGGTTAGGTCCTCAGGAGAAACTGGCAGGGTTCCTTTCCACCAACCTCCATCCCACTGCACCTGAGTTACTCCTCCTTCCAATTTTCACAATCTCCAAAACTCTTCTGAGAGGGAACAGTCAAGGCCCAAGTCTTTCCCCTCCATAATACACAATCGCTTGTACTTTAGTTGCTGAATAAAAACTCATTCAAACAATACACGAAGGGTGCCAGGTGTTTGCCTGGCCTGTGAGTGTGGATGGAATCCTCAGATCAGGGTCCTTGCCCTCAAGACCTCTCCGTTTGCCTGGCAGGAGAAGGAGCAAGTCCGATCAAAAAACCAAAACACAGCTCCTTGCTTTGCAGGAGGGGTACTGGCAGCTCCCAGGAATTCAGAAGATCCCAGCCACCCACATACTGGGGTCTGGAGTAGGGAGAAACTGTGGAGTACAGTAAAGGTCCATGGGGGGAATTGGGCTGATCTTTGAAGATGGTCTGGATGAGGTGATGGAGAGATGGGACCCTAAACAACAAAACGGTGCATATCACCAAGTGTCTGGAAGTTCAACAAATTAGGCCCCAAAAAACAAAGCCTAGGGGTTGAGCTGCAGGTACTGCTGGCCAAGAAGGGAAAAAGAGGCTTGGCAACAGTAGGTGGAAGAGGTAATATAGTATATGATTGTGGAATGTCTTGTCCACTTTGAGATGATGTGGCCGCAGACTAAAGGTCCTGGGAAACAGGGCCCCAGTGGAAGAATTCTATGCTCCTGCCCCTCTGCACCCCAATTACATTCCTCATCTTCCTGGCAACCTCATAGTAACCCTAAACTTTGCTGGTCTTGAGAGACTAGGAGATGGGCAACAGCAGAGTTGTCCTTAAGATCCTGTCCTTCAGGCCAATATCAGGTATGAAAACAAGGACAGGAGGAAGGGCATGGGGAATGGTAGGAAGCCCCTCCCAGGACAGTGACCCAAAAGTCTCCATTCCCTGATTTGGAGAGGCCTACTCTGCTAGCATGGAGGTGTAGCTTGCCTGAGATTCCAGGTCAGGGCTTTGAGGGTTATGGCAGGAAAGGGCTGGATTTTAAGAGCAGGAAATGAGAAGAGAGGGCACATCCCTATCGGTCCCATAGCTTCCAAGCCAGCAAGATCCCACTCCCTGGTGCCTTCTCCCTCACGTCCCTCTGCATCATCTCTCTACTCCGACTCCACAGTTGCTAGGCCTAGCATCCATCACCTTGTGGCTCCCAGAGCAGCACTGATACACTAGAGATAGGCCTGCCTTAGGGATAGTTCTGCAGCTCTGGGGGAACTGGGAATAGCATTCTCACGATTCCTATCCCTGAGCACTTGTCCTCCCTGCAAAATGCAGGACAAAGGTGGGGAAGAGAGTAAGTAGCTCTTCTCCACACTCCATGTGAGCCTGGATCAGGCACTAGTGTCCCAAACGAGAATCCTTTCTTCCTACACTGTCCCTCTTACTTTGGACAGCTGCAAGCCATGTTCCAAACAAATTACTAAAAACGAGATAGAGCAACCATTCTGTGATGCACCGAGATCCTTGTGCTGGAGGCATCCAGAGAGAGAACTGTCCCCTGCTCCACAGCCCAGCTTGCCTTGCTCCCTCTCTAGGGCAGGTATGGGGAGCAAGAAGCCCAAGATGTACTATATTTTCCATCCTAACCTCTGGACTGGGCCATGGTCCTCGGCACTGTCCTCTCTTGGCCCTTCTCTAGATCAGGCAGGGCTGCAGAATGGCACTGCCTGCCCAGGAGTTTACAAACAAAGCCAGGGAAAGGGCTGGGGCTGTGTGTGGAGAAGGAAACAGTTTTCCCTCCCTTGGTTCTAACCTCCTTTCCTCTCCTTCTTTCTCTGGGGGCAGAAATAGAAATTTACGGTGGTGAAGCCAGTGGCCCCACACAAACCAGATGAGAGAAGCAAGAAAGAAAAGAACCTAGGGGCACAGCCCCCTTGGGTGCCTCAGGGAAATGAAAGACATAGTATATAAGGGTTCAAACAGGCCTAAATACTCACAGGTTCACATCTCTTTACACAAATATACACATGAAGAACCACACGCAAATATACAGATTCAAAAACATAAACACATTCAAATACCGATGCACACAAATGCTTGCCTGATATAGAGTCCCGCCGCAGAGTTACCAGCCCCTAGTTTCACTCGAACCCGGCCTCTCTGAGGGTTTCTAAGAGCGCAGTCCCAGCTACCCCCGACCCCCTCCCAGCCCCCGCCCCGCATCCGGAACAGCTGGAGTCGGCCGGGCGGTACACTCAAGCCCAGCGTTGGGCTGGGCGGGGCCGCCAGCGGGGCCCCGGCCGGGGCCCGGCAAAGCGCAGCGGGGAGGCCCTGAGCCGACCCCGTTAGCCCCGGCCCCCAGCCCGGCTGCCGGTGGGACGCCGGTCACCAGGCGGGCGCTGGCCCCAGCCAGCCTCTAGAGCCTCAGCCTGGGGTAAGTGTGCGAGATTGCTGGAAGAGGTAAGGCTGTTCCTTTGGGCCCAGGCCGGAGGAGAGTTGCCTAGAGCCACCACCAACTCCCCGCTCTGCCTCTTGTTTAGGGAAGGCTGAGTGCTAGGACTGGCCCCCTCCCCCAACCCCCGGGGTCCCCCACCCCCATGTCCCGTGTCGCTTCAACCAGGGCTGTAGAGCCCGTTCAGATCTCTTAATTCCCTCTTTCCCAGGCGCGTGGCCCGAGGCCGCGGGTGAGAGGCGAGAGAGTCTAGGGGCAGGGGCGCTGGGTCCTTGATAACAGCTCGGCAAAGTCCGCAATAGGCGGTGGCGGAACCCATCCAAGCTCCTGGTCTTACCTGGCGCGCGCGGTGGCCGCATACCTCCCCGGCTCGGCTCTCGCCGCCCTTATAGGGCGCCAAATCCCGGGTCGGAGAGCCTGAGACCTCCGGGCCAGCGCTGCCATCTCAGCCAGGCCAGTGGGAGGTGGGTGTGCGGGGAGCGCGGTTCTCAGTTTGGGGTGGGGGCGGCGGCTTCTCAGTTGTCGAAGGTTCGGGTGCAATAAAGGCTCCGCTAATGTAATTTACAAACAGCTCGGGCCGAGCGCGGCACAGCGCCCGGACTGACAGGCGCATTAGGCAGGCTAATTCCAGCCGGCTCCTCCTACCCCCGGCCCGCTAATTAATGAGCTTCCCAACTTAGAGCCGCTTGTATTGGACAGACAGAGAGTGAAAGAGAGGGCGAGGGAGAGGGAGAGAAGGAGACGGGGGGGAGCAGAAGAGAGAAGATAGAAGGAGGTAGAGAGGGAGGGAGGGAGGGAGAGAACAGAGAAGAGAGAGGAGAAAGACAGGGAAAGGAGAGAGAGAGAGAGAGAGAGAGAGAGAGAGAGAGAGA